TCAGACCAGTTAGTCTTCTATGCTTGTCAGTGTAAACATAAACATCAGTGTCAGCAAGGAGGTGAAACACCCAGTAATTCCCACACTCTCCAGATTTCTTTTGCCAGAAAAGCTTATAATGAAGGACAAAATAAGGGGTGATTTCTCAGTCCTGGTCTGTAGCTCAATGCTTGCATTGAGAAAGCGGTGAGCATGCCATAAGCTTTTAATGGTCCTTTAGAGTCAGAGTTGTGAAAAAGACCAGCAAATTACATGTTATAAATTAAGAAAAAATACGTTATATTTTTCTTTAAGGTTCAAATGCTGCCCGTACTTCAGTTTTAAGCGGCCCTTTGGGTATTCCTGAGCTGCTCCAGTATGTTTTTTTTTTACCTTCCTAGTAAATGATTTGCACTCTTCCTTTGTCTCTTATCTTCTTTCTTAGTATAGAGTACACATACCAGTATATACACCTCTTCCAAGGTAGAAAAAATTCATATTTTTAATATTTTTTCAGTGCAATTGAGCTATAGGACATCTTAGAAGGAAATGAGATTTTAGCAGGTGAGATTGATATAAAGCTGTATTTACTCAGGCCATATCACATTTCAGGACAAAAAGATTTGAATCAGTGAGGTCTGCCTGAGTCACTGGTTGAGCTTTAGATTAACTGCTCTGTATAAGTATGAATAAGTCCAAATACATCTTATTCTTGTTTCAGATGTCTCCATGAATCTTTCTCTTTGCCAGTCAAAGGATTTTGTATATGTATGAGCTACAACCGGTTTGGGGTGGAGGGAGTGTTTTGCCCTGTGAACTTTGATTGTGGGAGAAGTCAACAGGAGGTCGATTGTATGTACATAAATCTTGCCCAGAAATAAATATATGGCTGAGTGCATCATAAAGGAAGAGACTAGTCTCACTGAAAACCAAAGAATACATTAATACAGAGCAAATTCTTAGTATACTGCCTCAGCAATTTTCTTCTTGAATTAATCCTCATGAGCCTTACTGAAAAGCAGTCTATTACTGCAATTAGATTTTTCACTCCTAAATAACAACTTAATACATGCTAATAACAATATTTCTCCTATTTTCTGTCTCTGAAAATATGATTCCATCACAGATTAATGTCTGCACCTAAATCATAATTTGCCTTATCTGCCTCACTGTGTGGGAGAAGATTTTGTGCATAATTTCCCAAATATATGTGAAGGGATTACAGCTTTGCAATAACTACAAGAAACAGTTTACTGACAAATGTGCTCTAAAGCATAATCTGGAGTTCGTAGGGAGTTAGCTACATGATGGAACAGATCTACTTTCTAGATGATTTGCTACCAAAGAGTATGTGAATTCATATCTACACTTTGGGAGCTGTGAATGCAGAGAGAGACAGAGGGAGCACTCAGGAGGGTTCAGCACTTACCTTCCCTTCCTACTCCATGGGGATGGATCAGACTGCTTCTGGAGAGGAGGCAGGATTGCTGTCATACTGGTCCTTCTTTCCCAGACGACTTGCTTGCAGTTAATTGCCTACCACAGCATGTGGTTAGTGACCCACCTTTGAACTGAAAGAGGGAACAGCACCTTAACAAAGCCAGCACTCATGGCTGAAAGTCTGAGTCATGCTTCGCACAGGAGCGTGACTTACTGGGACTGAGTTAAATGACAGCAAGTATGCCTGCTAGGAATGGATTAATAAGTCTGGAAAAGAGTAAAAAATTGACCTATGGGTGAGTAGGTGAATGAGGACCTAGAAATCTAAGGTTTGAACAAAGCGAAAAAGCAGATGGAGAAGAAAAATTAAAACAAAAGTGCAGGCACGTGAATAAACTGTAGGAAAGAACAAAAAGTTGCATTACCAATAATTTAGGAGGCAGATCTGCACCACCGCTGTTCTATGTTATTTTCTCTTTCTTCTCTCATGTACTTCAAATTATAATTTTTTAGTTTCCTGTTAATTTGTTTGTATTTGTTAGATTTGGAAATCAAGACTCTCCAAGGTGTGAAAAGTGAAAACAGCCTCAGCTCCACAGGCTCCTTCCTTGTGGACAATTCTAGCATTGACTTCCAGAAGTTCCCTGACAAGGAGATATTAAGAATATCTGGGCCTCTCACTGCAGACTTCACTATCAAGGTGAGGAACATTGTTCATTGACATCTTAGAGTAACATAAAGCTGCATTAGAAAGATGAGAGAGCTATTTCTAGATATGATTTTTCCTGTAGACATCTACCACAAAGGCTAGCTCAGGCTAGATCTGTAATCCTACATGAAATTCTGTAAATATATGATGAAAGCCTTATTGGATACTCCTTGGAAAAGAGACAGAGTTTATGCCACGAAAGGCATACCAAATATGTGCCTTAGAGAGAAAAGATGAACTCATTACAAGACAAGGCAGATTACTTTCTGTATGTGCTGCTGAGGTATGTATAAATCAAGGACACAGCTTGCCTCATCTGTGACAAGCAAGAAGAAAGAATGTCTGTACCTCTGGCCCATAATTTGTGGGATTTATACTGGTGTAATTGCACAGAAGAGTATAAAGAAATGGAGAATGAGGTCCCCAAGCTCCAAAAACAAATGGGATGACTTTGCTTGAGAAGTTATGGTGTCATTTTGAAGTTCTGCTTTGTGTTGCACTAGCAATAAGAATAAAATTGTTTCCTCCCATTAGAACACTTCTATTCTTCCAGGTAATATAAAACACATTGCTGGAAGCAACGGACACATTCTGTGGGAAAACACACATACAACAATGAATATCTGGGGAATTACAATAAAATAAATCCTTTTCCAGTAGGTCCAAGGACCTTGAAGGATTTCAGCTGTAAAACTGTAAAACCTGTATCATGTCTGGGGCTACATACATTTTTCACCACAGCCCCAGAGGCAAATGACATTGGCTTTGACCTCGAGATGATGGAAGCTAGAAGTTCAAACAGTGAACTGGAAAGTGTGATAAGTGGTTGAGTTGGGTTAAGCTGGGCTGGAATCACAGAATCATAGAATCATTACAGATGGAAAAGACATCTAACATCATCAAGTCCAGTCATCAAACCAACACTACCATGACCACTAAACCATGACCTGAACTGCCATATCCACACATTTTTTGAACAGGGACAGTGCCTCCCCCCCCTCCCTGGCCAGCCTGTTCCAATGCTTCACCACTCTTTCAGTAAAGAAATTCTTCCTAATATCCAATCCAAAACTCCCCTGGTGTAACTTTACTCCATTTCCTCTTGTCCTATCACTAGTCACCTGGAAGAAGAGACTGACACCCACTTCTCGACAACCTCCTTTCAGGGAGTTATAGAGCGTAGTAAGGTCTCCCCTCAGCCTCCTCTTATCCAGCCTAAGCAATCCCAGTTCCTTCAGCTACTCCTCATAAGACTTGTTCCCCAGACCCTTCACCAGGTTTGTTGCCATTCTCTGAACCTACTCCAGCACATCAAGATCTTTCTGATACTGTGGTGCCCAAACCTGAACACAGTACTCGAGCTCTGGCCTCACCAGTGCCGAGTACAGGGGCACAATCAATTCCCTACTGCTGCTGGCCACACTATTTTTGATACAGACCAGCATTCTGTTGACCTTCTTGTCTACCTGGGCACACTGCTGACTCATGTTCAGCCGGCAGTCCACCAGCACCCCCAGGTTCTTCTCTGCCAGGCAACTTTCCAGCCACTCTTCTCCAAGCCTGTAGCGTTACCTGGGGTTGTTGTGACTGAAGTGCAGACCAGGCACTTGGCCTTGTTGAACCTCATAAAGTTGGCCTCAGCCCATTGTTCCAACCTATAGATCCTATAGATACTTCTGTAGAGCCTCCCAAGACTTGAGCAGATCAACACCTCCACTCAGTTTGGTCCTGTCTGCAAACTTACTGAGGATGCACTCAATCCCCTCATCCAGATCATTGATAAAGATGTTAAACAAGACTGGACCCAAAATTGCACCCTGGAGAACACCACTGGTGACTGGCCGCCAACTGGATTTAACTCCACTCACCATAGCTCTCTGTGCTCGACCACCCAGCCAGTTTTTCACCCAGAGAAGAGTCCACCTGTCTATGCCATGAGTCTCCTGCTTCTCTAGAAGAATGCTGTGGGAGACAGTGTCAAAGGCACTACTATAATCCAGGTAGACAACATCCACAGCCTTTCCCTCATCAACTAGGTAGGTCACCTGGTCATAGAGGGAGATGAGGTTGGTCAAGCAGGATCTGCCTTTTATGAACTCATGCTGGCTGGACAAAAGGGATAGCTCAGGAAGCAGCAGAGCCCTGTAGGCTGTCCCCTATCCATCTGCATATGCTAGCAGCACAAAAAGCAAGCTGAAATTATGACAACTGGTTCATAAGGAGAAGCCTGACCTAAAGACTGTATTCCTCTTTCTTTGAAGATCAGAATGAAAATGCCAAAACAAAATTACTCAATTCAAAATGTCTAAAAAACTTTTACCCGTATTATAGATGATATCCAGATGACCCATATCAGTGTGATGTAAACAGTATCACTCACTTTGCACTGTTTGTGCCATGTATGGATTTATGACAGCCTGGTTAGTTAGAACATACCTGTTGGGGACCTGTCATGTAGACCAATGGCCCTGAAATGTTAACAGGAGGATTGATCTCCATTCCTGTTATTTCCACTGTTATCTTTTATGACACGGAAAATACCATTATCCCATTTTTGCATTTTCTTCTCTATCAAAGCAACATATGAAGTGCTAGTTATATCAATGGCAGTACCCTACTTGTGTGATTACTGCCTGCCTGAGTATACAAGCTCGCTAGGTATGGGCAGAACAGACACTGATGAATTGAGATTAAACTATTTAAATACTTTTACTCTATGTTTTCACCTTTTGAAAGTCATAGTAGTATGGCTCAGCAGGTGTCTATGTATAGGCACACCCTTTTTCTTAAGTGGATATAGAAAAATGCAAAAACAAAATCCCTGTTCACAGCTGTAGGATCTTTTCTAAAGCTAGCATTAGATTTTTCCTTGGATCAGGGACTCAAAAATTTCTTGCATTTGAATCGCAGTTATTTTTTTATTAAACAGCTACAGAATATACGTTAGATATTACTTAATGCAACAAGTATCTTATTCTATACTGTTTAATTATTTCTCTAATACCATTTTTTTTAGCTTCTGGATATTTCATTTGTTAGATTTTGTTGGATATAGGAGCGTACATACAAATAAGGTTCATACAGGAGTACTAAAATGCATGCATACCTCTCTGTTATGTCAGACTTGGCAATTGCTTTCCATGCTCACTATAGCCGTAACATGTGCATCTTCAGCTTGTGAAGGTACTTTAAAAAAACAATAGATTAAAGGCTTCTTTATGGCATTAGAAAGTTTTTCTTACAAAGACAGATATCTCTGAGTATCAAGATTTATTTCCCTGGGACAAGGCAGTTTCTGTGCAAACAGATCTAAATTAATTTGTAGATTTAACAGAACTATATTTTTAGGATCATTGCCTTCAGAATGATTGTTATTATCTTTTTCGATTGACCCTGAATGCTCTTATTCAGAGAGGTCAAATTAGACACCTGGATGTAATTCAGAAGCAGAAACAATGTGGGAGTTGACATTTAAGTTTCCTTATTGGTGACATGGAGTGCTTTAAAATTACAAGAAAACCTCCTATTACTGTAGGAGCTGAATTGTAAAATGACTAGAGTTCTTGACTTAATAGTCATGGTACATTCTTTTTGTGCTAAACTCTTGTCAGTCTTTTCACAAGATATGTAAATGTTAAAAATAGTTCAGTAAACAGCTCAGCTCTTTCAAAAAATAAAGTGTTATCACAAAATAGGAGAAGAACTGCAGTTCTTCATGTTGTTATTTTCTGCATTCATAGTTTGAGAATTATAAGTCTCCATTATAAACTTTTAATGTTTGAAAGGCAGAAGACCAGCAAGAGATGCCATCAAACTTAAATTCAGCTTGAATTTTGTTCCTACGTTATGAGGTTTTCCTGTTTTAGATACAAAATTCTGATTCATGTGAATAGAAATGTCTTTTCATGAAAGAAAAATGTGTCATGTTTGATAAAATCCTGGTGAAATGAAGGTCAGTTTCACTTAGAAAACTTTCTGGCTGACACTGCACTGCAGAGAACAAAGCAGTAATATCACATAGGGAAACATCCTTTTTTGGCAGAGCTGCCACTGATCTGTCATGTTACCAAGGTCACGCATTCACCTATCTGTGCTAAAAAGTGTCCTCTGTTGATAATCTCCATTTCAGACACAAAATAAGCTTAGAGTGTCCATTTCATGACACACACCTCTACTCCTTTGAGGAGGATGATTCAATACTGTTGGATGGACTCTACAGCTAATAATATAGCACTAATAGTCGTAATTGGTTGACTATTTAAAACAAAACATATTAAGAATGGTGAGCTTACTGAAACGGTAGTGATTGCCAGGGAAGGGTCAGGACTGGCAGAGCACAGATGTTAGGGTCTGTTTTACAGGCTGTTGTTTTCACATAGCTAGGGCCCTAGACCTATAGCTGAGGTGTGAAGCAGCAAAGATTAGTGGGTTTACAACAAGGTCTAGTAAAGGGTGTTGTCCAGGCTGGGGGCTGGTTTGGAGGAGAAACCACTGTTGGCCTAGAGCTAGACTAAGCTAGGTTTACATTTGTTTTCAATCCCTAAAATCAAGGTGAAGGTTTGTTAACTTGACCTGCATGGACCAACATCTTTGCATCAGGGATGCATAGGGTTGGATCACATAAATGTTTGTCTGGAAGCTATCAGAGGTGTTTGGATTAGGACTGGATTTGTACTGATGTTGTCTTCCATAATACTAGAGCTGCCACCTTTGGTTAAGAACTGCTGTCAGAAGAGACTCCCTAGCTATTTTTTTGTGTTGGTGGATGAGCGTACTTCCTACAGATTTAGATATGGTGTGCACTGGATTCTCTTGAGCAGAGTTACTGATGAGGTTAGGATGTAGGCCACCAATTGTCCAAAAAGCTATAAAATAGAGGTAAAAACTGGATGCTCGGTTATGTAGAGCATTGGAGATAGCCAGACAATTCTTACCTCAGTTGTGATCTAGCAATGGCAGAATCTGCTGGTGAGAGAAATGCAGTTGATTAG